TAGAGGCAGAATAAGAATATATGTACAAAGAGGCCACGTCGCTAACTTTGTGAGGTTGTGGCTTGATTAACTTATGGTTGGTCAGACGTGTTCAGATCATTTCAGGGACACAGTGGTGTGGAAAGGGAAATAGATCAGAACATGAAGACGACCTGGGTCCGCTGCGAGGCACAGACCGATGCTGCCGAGATCACGATCACAGCGTAGAATACACTCAGCCCTCTCGAGGAAACACGGGATCGTGAACACACGCTTGTGGCCCATGTGAGTATTTTGTCTTGTTAGTAGGGAGCGCTCATATTAGCTTCTAGCTCCACGCTTAGTGATTATCTACATTAGCAACAGCAAACAAGATGGTGCCTCTGCGGAACCACTGATGGCATCTGAAGGCTGGGAAAACTTTACCACTAAACCAGTTATACCTCACTTTAATGAAAATCTAACACTTCAAATTCGAACCGTGTTCACTTTCACTGAGTGACAGTCTTGGCTTATGTGGACTAAAATCTGATGTTATGAGCATGAGCATGAGAACCCACGTGCGTCCGTGGAAAAGGGAAAAGTGCAGATGCCTAGCCAATGCAACGAGCCATGCGTTCCGATATCCGTATATTATATATATATATATATATATATATATATAGATATATATATATATATATATATATATATATATATATATATATATATTAGCCATAGGAATTATCAGTGTCTAAAAGAAAAACAACACAAAAAAACTGTTGAAGCTATTTCTTCGCGGTTTGTCGGTGATGACCGTGGGCTTAGTATTTTCGCCAAAAAGCACACCGGGAGAGACGAAAATTCGTTGGCGGCTCTAGGGAAGTCTAATGTATTGAATTTGTTAACATAGGCTAATACAGAGGAACCAGGTTTGCTAGAGGCTGCCTTACTTGAGATGCTTGTGATGCTGTCATATGCGACGACGGCCCCATCAGTTGTACCGAATGTTTCGTTTGGCTTCCAGGATGAAATGCGAAGATGACCAGAAATTCTACGACTGCCTGTTGAATGATAACAGCGAAAGTAAACTGATGTCGGCCTGTGTTGGAATGATATATTTTGATTTTCTCAGCACGCAGTGTTTCGAAAAGGCCTATACTGTAACTTGCGTGGAGTCTGTGAGGCAAGTGGTGCTCCTTATAAGTAATGTAGAAGTTTGGGTACGCAGTTTGGCGTGCTTAATTTTGGGAGAAGCTTACGTAAGTTTTATTGGTACTGAAGGGGATACCTAGCCCCGCCGCGGTGGTCTAGTGGCTAAGGTACTCGGCTGCTGACCCGCAGGGCGCGGGTTCGAATCCCGGCGTCGGCGGCTGCATTTCCGATGGAGGCGGAAATGTTGTAGGCCCGTGTGCTCAGATTTGGGTGCACGTTAAAGAACCCCAGGTGGTCTAAATTTCCGGAGCCCTCCACTACGGCGTCTCTCATAATCATATAGTGGTTTTGGGACGTTAAACCCCACATATCAATCAATCAATCAATGAAGGGGATACCTAATACATCTGTATATCTCAACGCCGACAACTATTTACATATCGAAAAAGATGCTACAATAATGGGAAAAGGTGACGTACTAGTGACATAGATGAGAGGCGCCTTGAATGAGAGGCGGGCACAGAAAGGGAAGGTTTGCTACGAAATATTAATATACTGTTTCGAGAACTTTGGTCGATAAGAGTACACTGTCAGTTTTTAGGAAAGGGAACACGCGAGCGCGTGGCCTGCGCGCTCCGGCAGCTGCTTGTAGTGCGTTACTGTGGAGCGAGAGCAAATACAGCCTCTTATCGCGTCATCTAGTGGCGAGCGAAACAACCAGCCATCGGTTATGTGGAACCGGCCTGCACGATTGCTACCTCGTCCCCCTTGAAGGCGATAACGCAAAAGAGCGGGCTTTTGCGTTATAGCTTTGAACAGAGATAAAAATTGATACTGTACGTCCATGTGATAGGAAGAATCACTTTCTGTGATGAATCTATGCATAGCTAAAAAGAGGAGGGGGTCTTGTAAAGCTGGAAGACGTCCCTAATTAAGCTTTCATCATCTAGTGAGGATCAGTACTGAACGTAGTGAAGCGTGGAAGAGGCGACGTTTACACTTTCAAATTAGGTTCATTCCACTCTGGTTTTGGCGTAGAAATGGATGTACATCTTGAAATTTTTATGCCCATCACCAAGAGTGCTTGAGCTTCAGGGAGAGAGAAATATGAGAGAGAAATATTTAATGGAGAGCTGGCGATATTTCTCTAGCTTTTCGCCTGATATGCTACTTCAAGTTATGGCTGATGATTACGATACATACACCGATAAACACATAATACATACAGCCACACACACCACATATAGATTACACTGTTTACTGAGTTTCATTCATGATTGTTATACGCAAGAAAGTCCAGCAGCGCTTTCGTGGCCCGTAACGCAAGGGAGCTGCTTTGCCGTGGGCACAGTATTGTTGAACATGGTTTTTTGACGAATTATGTAGAAGCCCGTGGACTGCGGTCCACGGGCTTCTAGAGAGGAACAAAAGACACACATATAGTGGCATTATTGTAATTTTCGCTCATTTATTTATATTTCACGTTTTGCAGACGTCTTCTGCATGAACCAACGTGCCGAAAATTCAAGATTGATACCTCGAAACCTACATGGAAACTGTCTGACTCGAAAGCTTCCTCGACGCCTATCTTAGGAAAGCCGTGAAATATTTATATTACGTATGGTGGAATGGCACATATTTATTAGTTTTTTGAAAAATAAATACAGCTGATATTGTGTTCCTAATGAACTGGGCTTCACTCAAGTTTGAACGCATCCGGTGAATGAGCGCCAAATTGACGATTTAATACTGCGAATAAGCAGAACATTTTCCCACTGAATTCCCCATCCACCACTGACACCTACAGCTCCTCTACGAAACTGCCTTGTGGAGTGGCTGACAGTTGCCTAGGCTTTGTGAACCAAATTACATGGCGCACTTCATAAACTCATTGGAGAACTCTACCAGCCAGGTTCGTGGCTCGTATTACTGTATGGTTGAACCTATTCTCGATCATGCTATTTACGACTAGCCCCGCTGCGGTGGTCTAGTTACTGAGGTACTCGTCTGTTGAACCGCAATTCACGGGATCGAGTTCCGGCTGCGGCGGCTGCATTTTCGATGGAGGCGAAAATGCTGTAGGCCTGTGTGCTCAGATTTGGGTGTACGTTTAAAAAACTCCAGGTGTTCGAAATTTTCGGAACCCTCCACTACGGCTTCTCTCAGTTTCATATGGTAGTTTCGAGAAGTTAAACCCCACGTATCAAATTAATCAATGTGTTTATCACGTGCCGTGATGTACTGCAGCAAAAAAAAAAACAAAAAGAAAAAAAGACGGTAAACTTCACAAGGAAAAAACTGGACCCTTTTTTAAATTTCGGAAAGGTGGAAAATGTTAGTATGTGACAGACGTCGTCATTATTTCATGGCCGGCACGGGAATTTTCAAAATAGGCCAATAAAAGGAGGCTTAGCTTTGAATCGCTGAGCTTGGACTCACGGGACAAGTATGCACTATACTTCCTGTGTTTCACTTTCCACAATATTTTGTAAAGTGTGGAGTACTTAAGTGGGGCAGTCCGTCGTATGTTGGCGGCGCTTCTAGGCGTAAAGCAGTCAAAACTGCACATAGAAAAGCCATCTGTACCGCGTGCTTGACCTAAAAGTCTAGCTTTTTCGTCTTGCTCACCGAGAGTCTCGATGATGGTATTCATGCAGGCAAAACTACTTGTACCTGAGCCATCTGCAGCATATAGAGCGCGTGCTCACACCAAAAAAAAAAGTCTTCTTTCTATTGTTGTTCGAGCCGTTATTAATTGCGGAAAAGTTTACATAAAACCATGTATGAAAATTGAAAAAAAAAGAGGGAAACAAGTGAGAAGTTTGAAGATAGAGTAAGGGTAATAATAAAAATAAAAATAAAAGTATATAGAAATAAAGACAACAAGAAAAATTGAGGAAAAAAAGTCACAGCATATTCACGAAGTGAATGAAGACGAGTGGGGAAGTTCCGGTGGATCATTAACCTTCGTACATTGCTCACTCGATCATGCAAAGAAGTGATGACACGTGTGCACAGTATATGCGAAGTTGTTTATTAATCACATCGCGCATATGGTGTTAAGATGTCCATATGAATATTCATAAGGATATCCATATGGGTACACATATGAATATGGATATGGATGCCCGTATGTGGATATCCATGTGAATGGCCATATGAGTATTCACAGGGATATCCATATCCATATGAATATGAATAACAAAGAAAGCTGCCCAGTCCTGCACTTCCTTCAGTGTTGGCACCACTAGGGTTATGCTGCCTTAATCTTCTTAGCCATGCTGGTGCTCCCCAAATCACACAATGATTGGCACCACAGCGTGGGTTAGAGTCGTTTTTTTTTTCATGGGCGTTGAATAGTATATGAAAGAAAGTGCATCTACTCACACATATCGCAGAAGTGCCTGCCCTCACCACTACGAGCACTGGCGTAGCACAGGCTGTTACGCAGTCCACGAAAGTGGGGAGGGTGGCGTACGAGTCTTAGAGAACATAAATTTTGAGAACGGCTCAAGGGAAATAAACTATCTGCGTTTACTTACCTCACCGGACTTTTCTCAGCGAACAGGTGTGAGGGCGCAAGAAGCAAAAAGTGATAATATCAATAAAACACAATAAAACTAAACCTGTTTCCCTTTGGCAGGTGCACGAAAGCCAATATGTCGCTTTCTTATGCAGATGACTTCTCCTTTAAGCGTAGCCGATGATTCAAAGGTTGCCGGGGTTCAACCTATTACAGCTTCGCGGGAAATGGCGTTTTTGTTTACGGGTTGGCTGTCAAATATCTAACGAGGCGATCTACGTGATGTGTTCGAACGACTTCCGGAATTTGCATAAATAACGCTTCTACGTTCGGAGAATTCTGATGTTGCACAAAGTCAGGTAACTACCTCACACAGTTTCGGTGCAGTCAGTCTCAGCAAGGAACAAACGTGTGGAGAGAAGCCTGCAAGGAGCACCCATTGCAGCCTCAGTAAGTCCTCTGCGGTGCAAATTATTATTTTGGATCTATGCTGGTACGTTAGTTGTAAGACCAGTAGGATAAGAAGAAGAATAATTAATTCTTGGAATTCGTGCATGCTATAGCTGTCATTATAAGGCATGGGATGGGGGTGGACTAGGTATTAGCTCTGACCAATTGGAGCTTTTTAACGTGCACTTAAATCTATGCACATGAGAGCTTCTTCCCATTTTGCCCCTTCTGAAGTGCGGAAGTCATGACCAGGGTGATACGAACGGGTGCATGTGATCTTGGTCGTACCAGTATAAAGCCGTAGGCACTAGGCTGCGTAGACAAATACATCTATATGAAAACCACACTATCACACTAAGAAAGCAACGCAAACGTTGACGTCATCATCCATGAGCTTGCAAAGGGTCGCTCGTAAATGCTGCCAATATCTTCTGAAAATTTTTCAATGCTACTAGAGCGAAGGGAAGCCTCATGTATGGAGCTTCCCTATTGAATGTTGAACAAAAGTAATAAACCCCAACTTTCATTTCATTTTTTTTACTTTGATAGGTCATATGGCTAGCAGGAGTAAAACCGGCAATTACCTGTACTTTTGAATATTTTGTTGAAAAAATAAGAATGTCGAATAAAGGGCGCTGTATTTTATTGTATTTATTTCACATGTGCGGTTTTGTCCACTACCACATGTGACGAAGTAAAGTTGACAAATTTAATGCACCGTAGACTTTGACTCTGTTCCCAGTAGCATACGTGAGCCGGCGAACATTTAAATGCAGTAAATTTCTAGACTAAATTGGGAGGTAGAAAAGACTAGTACTTCACCTAACTAAAACTAATGTAATCTAACTTGTCAAACAATTAGGTGCTTTTTATTGTCACCTTCTATACTAGAGTGTCCGATGGCTAGATGTTGCTCTTTCACAAACGACAATGTTCAAAAGTTTCAGTGGACTGAATTAAATACAAATTGGGCTACAAGTTTGACGTGGCATTGCTTTTTCCTGTGCAAACAACAATTTTCTTTTCAGAAATGCTGCGGATTTCCATCGAACTTTTGTTTGTATTTGCTGCTAGTTACATTATTGGCGTTCAGTATTGTTCGGCCACTATAAAGATCTACGGAGCTTCTCCTCTCAAGGTCGCAGTGAAAGGAGTATCAAGTGTTGTGAGTAAAGCGGCGTCTGCTTTCAAAGACACGTAATTATGCCATTTATTTTTTGCACCATATGTAGGCTACGAAAATATAATGTAACACGGGATGTGATTCAACACAAATATGAATACCATGCAGGATGTTCAACCACTCCGGCTTCAACGCGATCCTGCGATCTTGCTTTCACATACACCTCTTAGCCCCTCCCCACTATCTGCTGACAGAAATTCTAGGAATTACAGTCGACTAAAATGTTAATATTTTATGAATCACAATTGCTAGCTACAATGCACTAGACAAACAAAAAAATGTAGACCACTGTGGCGAAACTGCTAAAAAGCTACTCATGAAAAAAAAATGAGATTAGTAAGAGAGGACAATTGTAATCCCAGCATTTTCGCGGGGAAGCGAGATTTGTTTGCAAATAAGTGTAGCGATGATCTGCTAGATGGCACCACGACATAGGGAGACCTCATGTGCTCGCCACCTTGAAGGCTCCCTAGCACTGCCCTCTTTCATTGCACTGGATAGTTTACTTGGGTGTGCTGTGAGCCAATCTTAAGTGCACCCGTTTTATGACATCACCATGTACGTTTAGATTTTCACATGTTTTAATTGCGCTATGGAATAGCATATGGATGTAATTGTGTTTAAATAATGTGGCTATGATCTTGGTGAACCATAACGATGGGTTGGTATAACCTCCTCGGCCCCTGGGTACCCAATAGGGTACCATTGTTTTAAAGGATGCAGATCATCACAGTTCAATATCCGCGTGTCCAAATTTGCCTTGGCACAATAAGGATGAGTTGCTTTTACGAAGTATTCAGAAGTGGCACCGTGTGTCTAGTCATATTTTCAAAACGAGCGAGCGAAAATGGCTGAGTAGCTACATGAGCGCTCGGCTGCGGCCTCATGATAAGGGATAGCTTTTTTTTTATTGTAGCGTAAACGACATCATCTATAGTGCATTACTTTAACTGTGGACGCATTGTAGATCACATTGAAAGTGATTTGGGTCTGATATTTTTGATGCACTCAATCTTGGAGACTTCAAATGATCAGGAGGTACGCAAATGTGTACCATAACATTTTTAGACAACCATTAAATTTTTCGAATTCCTCATTTTTCTTCGTTTGTATTTAAAGGCAGAAAGTCAGATAATACGGCTTTGCAAAAGCATTTTCGCTGGTGCATTCTTGAAACTGAGGAGGATATTAATGGGCATTACCCGTATTATTATTGTCATAGTCTTCGTGGCACTAAGTGAGGAACTACTCAGAGAAGTACTGCTTTATAAAAAGTAAGTTTTCTCAACCTTGCGACTGCAAACTAGAGTCCAAGATATTTCTTTTCTACGTCGTACCTGGAAGTTTACGTACGCGAGGTTACATAACGATACTTAGGTACATGTAAAAATTTATTGTTTTGTTAAAATGCTGATCATAAAAAAACAGGGATAATGAACTGGGGGGTATTGCCAAATGTAATAATAAAAACGGGAGTATCATATACAGGAACCAAACAGGAAACACTATAAAGTTAAGCGAGCGATGTGCTCAAAGATTTCGATCATTCTGAACTACAGGTCTGAAATGGCTGTGAAGGTTGCATCAGTTCATTATGCATCGGCATGTATACTTAAGATATTCAAGTTATGACTATTTGACCAGGGATAACTGAAATAGAGTTGTAATCTTGCGGTGTTTACCGGAACGGTAATTCTAGTTGTACAGACCCCCCCCCCCCCCCCCAAAAAAAAAAGTCACGTTGAAAATAGAAATACCTTCCTCATCAGGCAAACAGCAAAATCGTATTTAAAGCATTCTGTAATGTTTTAATAGCGATGCAGTGCGCTCTGAGCTGACTAAATGCGTCGTGTATGTGAGTATTGATATCCTAAATACTACTTTTTATGCGTAAAACTGAAGCATTGATCGGGTTGATTTGTAACGAATAGCTACGGTGATATATTCACTGCTTCACATTTTTACTGAAATAATTTCTTCAGTTAAAAAAAATGTTCTTCGTTTTATGAACTTGTATGTTACGTTTAATATCTTCAATTTGTTTTTTTCACCATTGCACTATGTGTTTTCACCAGGAAAAATTATCCCATCAACAAAAGTGACTGAAAATGTAGCGAAATCATTGACTATACTATGAAAGCCTTCAATTACGGTCTTTGAAGAATGTTAATGGTGCCTTTTACTAAAGCGCTTATTCTTAGGTTTGTGCCTACGAAGAACCATCGCATTGTGACGGACTTCAAAGATGGCGGTCACAGGTTTGCCGAAATTTTCGAGGATAAAAAAAGTGGTGAACCGGTTACGTGTAATCTTCTGGGTGACAGGTGGGTAGTGCTGATCATTTAGAACGTTATTTGATTAGTTTAATGAATACATACGTGATTCAGTAAACATTTTGTAAAGGTTCACACCATGAGGAAACCTAAACAACTTTGCATATACCGTGCTACAGGATTATTAGAGGCTTGCTAAACTGTTTTGGAAATCTTTTATGAAAACTTTTCTTGGGTACAGCTTTCAGGCAACGAGTATGGTAAGTTTTGCGTTGTACGAACGAACAACGAAAAAACGAGGGGAAGAACATGAGAAAAAGAAGAAAAGTCGTGAGCAACTTCATGCCCATAGCATTTTACACCACTTCACACGTAGTACTCTAAGGTACGCCGATATTGAATTCGCTGCTTTCTGGAGTCTCGCACGTACCTGAGGACGTGTTACACCTGATGTCCAGGCACAAATATCATCTGCATAGAGAGATATCTGCACGGAATCTGGTATGCGTTCAACGAGACCGATCAGAACCAGGTTGAACAGTGTGGGGCTCAATACACCACCTTGAGGAACACCACGGTGTGTATAATGTTCAGAAGTCGGCCCATCATCAGTTTGCATAAACAATGATCTCATATGTAGGTAGCATTGGATCCAGCGGTACACTCGCCCACCCAAACCAACTGACTCGAGGGCGTCAAGTATGGCTTCGTGAGAGACATTGTCATATGCTCCTTTGACATCTAAAAATAGTGCGACAGATAACCGTCTGCTCATTTTCTGGTGTTGTACGTAGGTCACCAGGTCAATGACATTGTCAATGGAGCTCCGAAGACGACGAAAACCGGCCATGGCGTCTGGATATATTCTATGGCGTTCTAGGAACCACTCGAGTCTGGCAAGGATCATTCGCTCCATCAGCTTCCCTACGCAACTAGCCAGCGCTATTGGGCGGTATGATAGAACAAGGCCTCGAGATTTCTCCTGAGAAATCGGCGCTGGTCGCGTTCACGCGGAAGGCAATGACGTCATTTCCCATCACCATCGATGGACACAGTGTCTGCTACGCCAGGACCCACAGGTTTTTGGGGGTCACGATCGATCGAAATCTCTGCTGGAGTCCCCATGTGGCCACTCTAAAGAAGCGCCTAACGGCCATCGCACAACTTTTCAAGTTCCTCGGAGGCAAAACGTGGGGCACATCAGTGCACGCGATGTTGCATTTGTACAAAACGCTGTTTCTGGGGTACCTGCGGTATAGCTTGCCGGTTCTGACGAACGCTTGCAAAAGCAGTATACGCACAATAGAAAACGCCCAGGGCCAGGCACTCAGAGTTTGTCTTGGATTACCACGCTGTACATCAACAGCGGAAACCATCGCAATCGCCAAAGATCATCCGGCCACAGTGCACATTACTTTGGAGGTGCTTAGAGCTCATATTAGACACCTTGCTCGCGCCCCTGCCCACCACCTAGCTTCGCTTCCAGAAGATCGACCGAGTGCCTCCTTCTGTAAGAGAGTATTGACTTTCCGTGAGTGCCTTCCAACAGTCTACACGCCTCCGGAACGGATACTAACACCTCCTTGGTGCTTGGACCGACCAAAACTGCGCTTGACAGTGCCGGGGATTCGCAAGAAGGCGGAGCTCTCGGCGCCAGCTTTAAAGCAGATGATTCTACTCATGCTACACGAAGAATACAAAGATCATGTCAAACTTTACACGGATGGCTCGACAACTGTTGGAGGATCTGCAGGAGCTGTGATCTTCCCAGCAAGAGCCGAAACCATCCAGTTCAGAACGTCACACAAGACGACATCGACAGCCGTGGAGCTCGCGGCACTCCGCAGCGCACTCCGCAGGATTGACCAAGAGACACCACAAAAATGGAGCATTTTTACTGATTCGAAACCAGCTCTCCAATGTCTACACAATGCTCTACGTCGTGGACCTCAAGACCAATTGGCGCTCGAAATACGACAACTGTACCATCACCTAATAGACGAAGGACATGACATATCTTTTCAGTGGTTACCAGGCCATTGCGGCATCATCGGTAACGAACATGCCGACAATGCAGCTAAGAATGCTCACGAAAATGGAGTGATGGAACCTATTCCACTATCAAGAAGCGACGCAGCAGCAAAGATTAATACGCTTGCGCAGGATGTCGCAAGGTCTATGCGGAATACGCCCGGTTTTCTCCACACCCGTCTTCACCGCCTGGACCCATGCCTACGACTTACTATTCCATCTGGCCTACCCCGATCCGAGACGACCCTTCTCTGCCGTATGTGGCTTGGGGTGTCTTTCACGAACGCTTTTGCCTGCCGCATCGGAATGAGAGACAGCGCTACATGCGACCATTGCGACAATGACGAAACAATTGAACATATTTTATGTCAGTGCCCCCAGTACAGCTCTCAGCGACAGTCCCTCTCAGCAGTGTTTGCTCGCCTCGACGACCAGCCATTTTCTGAGCAGTCAATCTTGGAATGTCGGAAAGATCGAGCCTCACGCCAGAAAGCAACGAAGGCGCTGATGAAGTTTCTGCGAGCGACCCGCCTCGTTGAACGATTGTGACACTACTGTGTGCGAGTGTGTGTGTGTGTGTTTGTGCTTCTCTTCCTCCCTTTCCCCTTTACCCCTTCCCCAGTGCAGGGTAGCAAACCGGATATGTTTTCTGGTTAACCTCCCTGCCTTTCCGCATTAAATTTCTCTCTCTCTCTCTCTCTCACACGTAGTAAGTATTCGTGATTTGCATGCTTAAAACACATTTTAGAGGATGCACTTTCTTGGGACTGAAAAAAAAAAAAAACATTGATTCACCCCACCTCATATGATGCGAAAGTCCACCGTAACGTCTGCGTTGCACTGAGTTGTTATCTACATCCGAGCCCACTTTTTCTCCATTAATATAATTATTGGGCATTAATATCTTCTTTCGAACTTTGACATGGATAAATAGCGATGGGAAATTTCAGTAGTCACATTCGTTCACGTATATGGCAAGAAAATTGCATAAATAGAAGAAATTCGGCACAATATTAAGAGTGAGAAAAGCGCATTCGTGATGAATACACTGTGCAGGAACACACGTGCAAACACATTGCGCGATGTGTGTGCGGCTGTGTTAACTTCGTTGTGTAATCATCTCAAGAATACTTTCACCATCCTTAATTACGCACTACCAACGTGCCCTGATAGCCACCTTTGTAAATTTTCAGAGTTTGTTTCAAGTTAAAGAAAGTTCACATAAGCTGATTCATGCACTGACTTGTAAACACTGCAGTCAAAACAGCCTGAAGTTGCAGGAGTTATAAGCGACAGTATGTTGCCGGGGCTGTTTTACTATTACTGTTGTACTATAGCTGACCGATAGTTTTTACCTAGCGTCTTTTATCTGTCGTACATTGCAAGCTCCCAGTGCTGTATGGTATGGTATGTATGGTATGGAGGCAGGAGTGTCGAAGCAGTGTCGCATTAAGTGCTCGAACAGAGAAGAGGAGCAGGAAGGAAAAAAAGGAGCAGGAGAAAGTGAAATCAATAACCAAAAAAAAATTCAATCTCACTATTGAAAGAGTGGTCCTCATACTTTATACTGCACTGTTTGACACCTCTGCCCCCAAAATGTGTATACCTATTTCCACTGTCCATGCATAGTCAACCTGCACAGCACTTCATTCTACACTGTCCTGCCGTATACATCATTATCATCGAAAAAAAAACCCAACATTTTTTTATATCCTGACCTCAAAGCAATGCAAAAGAACATACACGAGCACGCTCTTCAGCTTGTTATACATTAGCCCACTTCGGCGTCGTAGCTGCTTTGCGCGCGTCATTTAGTGTGCGCATATACCAGCCCCCTCTCCACCAATCCCCTCATCAGTGACCATTAATTCTCGCTTTCCACAATAATAAATAACGTGCACTTCAAATTTATGAAGCAAATATTTTAAACAGGATAATTTGGCTTTAACTGTTGATATAAAGGGTGCCCACATAACTTGTGCCAAGAGTTTGAAAGCGAAAGGCAACTTAGGAGGTGAATTGAAGCAAAGGTATACTACTCGCACTAGACTGTAGGTACTCACGCAATTTTTATTTCTCCCCATACTAATTAAATAATTATTCTCTATTACTTATTCTTTAATTATGGGCTCGAAACCCAAAATCCAAACACTGAGAGATGTAGACCACTTTCAGACACCTCCGACTAAATTGTTTCCTGTAAGATACGTCTCGCGCTGTTATTTTTTCCACGTTGTAAAGAAAGCCCGCGAAACGTGAAAAGAAGACGTGTGACTGACCGTGAGCGCACTGCTGTAGTTATGCTATAGGCTTTTTTTACAACGCGAAAAAATAACAGCGCTAGACGTATCGTACAGGAAACAATTCGGTGGGTGGTTTCTGAACGTGCTCTGCAGTTCAGTGATAATATCTTCAGTTTCCAGCCCATAATTAAAAAGATGGGTAAATAAAGATTAGTAATTAATTAGTATGAGGAGAAATAAAAAAACTGCCTAAGTTCCGACAGGCTAGTGTGAGTAGTACGCGTTTGGTTCGATTCGCCACTGAAGTGTCTTTCATTTTCAAATTCTTGGCTCAACTTATGTGAGACACTCTGTATATATTTTGTGTTATTCCATATAGTCCTGCTCAACGCACGGCCTCTTGTGCAGTCATTTTAGACGCTTGACATTTTCGCACGTTTTATACGCTTCTTAGAATGCGTTACAGAGACGCTATTCATTGTGCTATTGGTGTGACCGTAAACGGTTTGAACTGCTAACTTGATAACAAATAGTAAATACGAGTGTTGTTGAATTTCGTGTAAACAAAGGCGCGCTTTTTCAATCGCCGACTTGCGTCTTTGCTGATTGGGTACTAGTTCTTTCGATGGCCAACACTGAACGACCGCGACCACGTGTAACTTTTTAACTTACGGTAGCACGTACTAAGCGTAGTACACTTCTTAGTGTGTGCTTCGTTCCGACGGTGTCTATACTTTTCCCACAGAATACTCATAAAATATTTGTTGAAGTTTATTCCAAGTGGGCTCGTTACCGACGTAACCGTGGATGAGATGGACGTTTTCATAGACAAATGCGTGGACCGAGAGTCAGAAGAGAAAGGCTCCTCTCTGTTGGATTTGCTAGGCACCGCTTTCAAGAGCCTCTTGATATACCCAGGTAAATGTAGTCATCTTGCTAGTGGGCGCACCCGAAATCACTTTCCATGTCTGAAACATAGCGCTAACGTGGAAAACACTCCGTCAGCACAAATGCACGCATGACATAAAGCTTCTAACATCACACTGTGGCAATTCGATATTACTGCGACGTTTTTAAAACGTTCAGTTGGTGCACCGGGGTTCTGAAATGATGTGTGACAATGACTGTAATAAAAAATAACAGAAACAGATGTAATAGAATTTAATGTTTATAAACGAGTCGGAAAGAGACTTTATTAAGGAAAACATTGTTTAGCGGGAACAGGTGCAGTTGCCTATGCCGCGCGTCGTTCCATAGAGCGCAGTTCACCCATAACTAATTTTCTCGGAATGGAACATCTACTTCGTTCTTCCTATAAAATAAAGATACCGCCAAAAACGCATTTGATGCGATGAAAAGGAAAATATATTTTTTGTCTCTCGGAGTACATTGGTCAAAGCGAACTTTGGAAGTTAGGTTGAACGTTATCGTAAAAGAGAAACAACATCGGCGTCGAAAATAATAAAATGAGGGCATATGTCAGACCTAAACGTAGGCTGATGGGTAGAAAAAAGAAAAAGAACTGTGCTGCATATACAGAAAACTGAGAAGGAAACAAAACAAGTCATATTTGATTTGTGTCTTTTTTCTTTCCTCTTTTTATTTTCCCAGATAGGTCATGTAGCGATATGAATTGAAAGAGTCCGAGCTGCTCGAATTTTGAATTGACTATGCCTCGGATAGTAAAGCTCATTCAACATCTAGCCAATCCAGGCCAATAAAATAAAACTACATAAAAGTTATTAAATTATTTTTAGTGATTCCTAAGAGTGTTCTATTTTATTGCACTGGAGCATTTGTTCTTGCAAGTTCAGTTAAGAAAATTTGCGTTTTTGTGGTGTAGAAAAAAAACCTAATTCGGCAACTAAATATTGTTTTTACGATAGTTCGCCTGATTTTACATTATAGTAAGCTATTATTCAGGATATGTACATTTTGTTGAGTAAATAAATAAGTGAGATATGTTGAGAGCATAAACGAAGAACCCGATAAGATTATTCTTGCGGCTTCATGAATTATAAATGTACTTTACTAATGAGGTACTTTAAGTATTCTAAACCGTTGATTTCTTAAGTTATAGTAATTTTGTTTAGACGAAATAGTGAATACATTTTTGTGCGCTATATATAACGAGCTTTAATGTTAAATCACAGGACTGAATGGGAAAGCGACACTGAGTGATTTTAACATGATTGTCTGTGGTAATAGTGTATGGTACCCCACAGAACGTGAGCCATGGTGTACGATGTTTTTTGTTAAATATCCACCAAGTGAAACCGTCTTGGGTGAAAGATGACAGAGCGAAAAAAGGTTGAGGTATACCCTAAGGTATTGTTTAAAGTTGCAGTGAAGAAGTCTGAAAATGCTGCTGTGAGGAAGAGGATTGTGGTAGTAAGATGTCTAAAAGCGAATCATCGGAAAAGTAAAATAGAATTGTAGAGGTAGCTTTAACGGCGGGCATAAAAATATCAATTTTCTGAATTGAATGTGCAAGAAGAATCGCTCCAGTTTTCTGAAGTAGAACACAAAGACAATGATATATAATTTTATTATAGACCGATAGAGAGAGAGAGAGAGAGAGAGAGAGAGAGAGAAGGAAAGGCCGGGAGAATATAGACCGGTAAATAACTTAAACAGTGTATAGCCCTGGTCAAGCCTGCAGATCTTACTTGCGTGATATTGGTGCCATAGGCCGGCAGAAAAGTTAGAGCTCACTGCGAAAAAAGGCCAACTCCGGTCATTTTACGAGGTCAACGATCAAAATAAGATTCACTAGGTACGTTCTTTCGCACATTTCCGTCATTGACGCCAAATTACATGCCTGAGAGATGCGCTGATCATTTGCGAATAATTTTAAAGATTGCCTCGAAAAAAAAATCTCCTTGCTTGCCAGAATTATTGGCAACACTAACTATGCGACGTGATGTTTGGCATGTCAACGGGAGGGACGCTGTCGATGGCATCGCTACATCAGCTGCTACAGCGTTTATTGTGCTGGCCACAAGGCGACGTTGGCAGTGTCTGGCATGACTATAGCACAGGAAAGCTTTCTTCCTTTCTCTGTGGTGTTTGGCTGGTGTTTTGCGGGTCTGGCTTTCACAGTTTTCATACTTCGCGCCGGTGGGCTCAGTATACGGCCTCCGGTTTTACTAAACAGTACGGGATACATAGACAGGGCGCCCGGTCGGGTTTAGGTTTCGTTTTTGCACTCTTTTGCTTATTAAACATTATTTTCAAATATCCTGAGCATTTCAGCTATTGGGCTCGTTACAAGAGTGCCTCAGGAACATAGAAACACTATTACCTAGACGTGGCCGAAAACTCGCCGCACTTGGCTTTTTGGGTTTACTCGAACTCAAAATCATTAAAATGTTCCGCAATCGAACTGGCTCGGACCAACACTCGCCGAAATATTACTCAATTGGACTCACTCGTACTCAGAATCACGGCTAGATCTGAGGCTGAGTGAGTCTAAGTCGACTCAAGAGTTGGTTTGCCGACCTGCCGTTCAGCTCAGTTCAATATTGATAGTAATGAATAATGTTGACTAATGTTCACTGATTTTAGCTCTGTGCACGTATTGTAACATTATAAGTAAATATGATGTGTCTGCTTCACTATGAGTGAGCTTCACTCAATTACATGCTTCACTGCCTAACAAAGTTTTCCTTAGTGAAATCTTGTCAGAAAAGTTCTTCCTTTCGGCTCACTTTTTGATTTTTTTTGTATCTTGCTTGGAGTGCAGGTACTAAATGGTGCGGGGCTGGAGACATCGCCAAGAGCTACAACGATTTGGGCATCATCCGAGAGATTGATATGTGCTGTCGAGACCACGATCATGCCAACGACAGCATACCGGCTTTTGATACAAAGCATGGGATTACAAATTTTAGGTTCTATACGATGTAAGCTTAAAGTGCGCGCGGCTTTCTTGGGCTAGTTGATTGGATAAGTTTGAAGGAGTCATAACGCTGGGAGATACGCATGTAACTTTTCGGTGTCTTACAGCACTATGACCCCTGTAGACGTAAGCTTGTCAAACGAGAAGTTACAATATCGAAACTCGGAGCATAACACGCAAGCACATAGGAAGGAAAAAAAAAGATGGAAGATAGGGAGGCTAGCCGTAAAATCGTATGGCTGACTACTCAACTATAGAATGGGTGAAGGAGAAATAGAGAGATAATAAAGGTGAAGAGGAAGAAAAAAAAAAGGAATGCGCAGGAATTAACTGACGTGGGCGAGAGTTCACCGCCACTTAAAGACGTTCGTGTGAGCCTGTCGTTCTCAAAGACCACACAAGTGTCTCATTCTCTTTTAGGCGACGAGTGATAAAGTACACAAGAGTAATAATCACAGAGAGTATGGTATCACATCAAGTTTGTTTTTACGTTACATTGCGATAGAAGTATGAGAATGTCCGCCTAAAAATATTACTATCCGCCTAAAACTTCCTAGGTTTTGAACACATAAGAAGTGTAAACTATCTGTTTGTACTCTTATAGCCATCTTTGTCATCATGGCATTTCCCCGCATAATTGAGTATCTATGTCTGGCCACCAAGACCAGTGTTTAATGTAATGTACGCTAGAAGGTCACGTCGCAGCGCTGTTTACGCAAGTTTCTCAAGACAGGCCACCGTGAACTAGTCTAGGAAGAGGCCAAGGGAGATAGACAGAACGAGTGAGTCTACCCTACCCACGCCTTCACGTAACTGACGACTCCATTGTTATCGCTAAACAAAAGATAAAGGATCCCAAAGAAGGTAAAAGTTAAAAAAACAAAAGATAAATGATAGATGTGTGGGTTTGTGCGTGTGTGTAGTGCCTATGCTTGCGGGCATGCGTTTACACTGGTGTGGTAAAAATGAACCCTATAGAATAACAGACAGACACACCAACATTTTTTCGTCGAAAGTCCCCAAGAAAGACTATCGTCTTTAAAAGAAGCAATATGCGTGTGTGAACATGTATTTCTCACCTCTGCATGTCCTTGGTATTTTTCTCAAACCTCTTCAGGACCAACTGTGACGACGATGAGAGGTTTTTCAAGTGTCTCGTGGATGCCAGCAATGTCGTTACGGCATCCGTCGGCATAGCTTACTTCGACGTGCTCAAGACCAAATGCTTCAAATACGGCCATCCTTTAAGATGCACCGGTTTTAATCCGTAAGCATTGAGTGCGTTGTTTTTTTGTGCTTGGCATTCCCAGAATATCATACCTTGTAAACACCTGTTGCATCACGATAAGGGCCCTCTCTAGGAACATCATATGGTAGTCATCCTACAGCTGCTTTTTGTTACTTTTGAATGGCAACGTGCTCAAGACGAAATGCTTCAAATACGGCCATCCTTTAGATGCACCGGTTTTAATCCATTCGTGAGCACGTTTTCTTTTTTTGTTGTGCTTGGCGTTCCCAGATCGCCAGATCTTGTAAACGCTTTAGTTGCATGACGACAAGGACACCCACTAGCAACATCATACGGTAGTCATCTTACAGCTGTTTTTCATTATTCTTGAATGGCAGAACATCGAAAAAAAAATGTCAGGACTTGTCGCTCGCGGATTTCTGATGTATATTTGAAATTTTTTTCGACTTTTCACGCTTTAACTTGGACTAAAACGTATGAAAATATTGCGCTAAACAAGGTTTTCTGACCCTATGATTGATTTTAGTTGGCAGTGAAATGTGATCCATTTCTCTGGTATATGTTTTTCAGTTATACTGTCGTAGCACAAGCAAAAAAAAACAACAAATTTTTAAAGCAAAAATTCAAAAAAAAAGCACTGGTGGCACATGTTCTCGTTGTAAATAGCAGCAAAAAATATGTACAATGAAACATCTGAACAAAACCAACCTGAGTGATTTCCTTATTCAGCAGGTTACAGAAGGCCACTTTTGCGCCATTGAGTAAACCTTTTATTTTGAAGACATTGATGGAGAATATTAGTAACTTCATACCCGTGCATATACAAACAATTTACACCACAGCTGTGTATGCCTAGGTCTCTTTATATCTCTGTAAACGTACTACTCGAAATAGATAAAAAGAAATAGATTTTTTCTGTTGGGCTGAACTGTGGCCACCACTCTACAAATACATATATAGAGTGGTTGAAATGCGGCTTGCAAACGCTGTATCTACACTATCAGCGGTGGAAGCGAAATGTAGGCATAGAAATTTCTACGAAGACTTCATTGACTTTCGTGGAGGGTAAATAACACCCTTCGGCAGCACAACATGCAAAGCTGACCAGAAGAATTAGACGTATAAGCCAACATCTGGCTTTTCAAAGACTTCATGCAATACATGTGATTCAATGGTCACTCCATTTAGGTGGCCCCTCAAGATTAGCTGACCAACGCTATGATGAAATACACGCTATACCGACGCCTTTCGGTGCCCATCACGATGAGGAAAGGGTGAATGTCTTTGTTGGACATCCTTTTTATAACCTCCGTGTCACGTGGTAACTGACCATAGACCTTCAAAAGTGGAAGTGACTCTTGATCTCTTCTCTTGATCTCGTCACTAAAAATTGTTATGCTAGTAATTATAATAGTGCTATTGTAGGGAAATTATGATTGGCTTTGAGCTAGCATAATTACAGAATAGACTCTTACATACTTAAATGTCGCGTGTCATCTCAACAAGAGGGACAAGAACGCACCACAGTATAACCCGCACAATACACGTCACATGCTTTAGAGTGTTTCTATACTCGATCAATATTATCGTTCGACGATCAGTTTTAAGTAATCTATATTAACGGAAGATAAATTACCCTCCTAATTAACCTTGTATTTGTAGGAGAAGCGACAGAATAGTGACAGATATTTATAAATATATTTAGGGCAATGTCATTGATCTTGAACTGCAATCTAGTTTCTCCCTACAAGGACCATTCACACTTTAATTCCTCAAATTTCAAGTGTGGCGTTTATGATGGGTGTAATATTTTACGACGTTCGTCACATCTCACCCTCGTTGTTACGGTCATGCAGCACAATTTGATAAGCGAAAGTACAAAGTCAAAAGCTGTCAGCAAGAAATCACTACTGCCTATAGCACTTAGAGCAGCCAGCAGCATTAACACGCACTGTTCACAACTAACTTTCATTTCAGGTTTCGCATGCTGCTTCTTCGCTCGCCTTGTAACAACAAGGAGGAAGACACGTCTGAGCCAAAGAGTTGGAGCGTACAAAATCCGACCAATTTTCTCGAGGCTTTCGTCAACAGAAAAAAGAACGATCTCAAGGATGCGATTGCGGGTCCAGAGGCCAATGACTCAGAATATTAAAACTGCTCCTGTCAAAATAACCCCATAGTGCACGCAAAACAACACATTTATTTGCAACAGCAAACAACAATTAAATGCAGCAACTTTTTTCTTGATCTATTTGCAAACATAGGTGATTGTATGATAAACCATATGTGAACCGGTACACGTGTCGCGGATGCAATTAGACTGAGTAATAATGTGCCCGTAGTACAATCGCAGCAGCCACTCCTAGTAGCTTTGGAAGTTTTGTTACTGGGGCCAACCTTCCAACCTTTCACAAATGGACTTCGTTAAGCTCCTCTAACGAAGGCAAGTCGGCTTGCCTAAACTTGCGTATTGTTTAGTTTCGGCCGTTATGGTGAGAAACAAACCAACGGAAGTTTCGGTAAGGGCTTACTGCGGAGAATCTTTCCACTCACGGATTGTTCGAAAAAGTTGCGTGTAAGGAACGTTTTTGTTAGATCAACCATTTGTGTTACAATCACTGACACACACGGGTGAAATACTGGCGCAGAGTACAGTGGCTAGATTTATAAGCAGCTTCACACGTGTTTCTATGAAAAATTGTTAACTTTCACTTAGCGCAGCATGACAGCAAACAGGTGTGTGTTCGAACTAACCACAAACAAAAGTGATGGTTCAGCTAACGAGGATCGGAAAAAGTGTATGTCTCAGCGTAGGCCTTGTCAGCATCATAACATATAACCTCATAATACTGCTGTCTGCGTCTTGCGCCATTGTATGACATACGTAAGTTGATGGGATCCGCCGTCCAGGACTTCCTTGATGTGACGTCAATGCTCGAGCTCCTAAAAATGAGTGTGCATTTTGGTTTCAGCGCACGCCGTAGTCTCACAGTATAATTTATTTCACGTTTTGGAGCACAGCCACTGTGTGCTCGTCAGCAAATCTAATGATTTACGGGCCCATGCTCAACTCCAGCCAGCGTGCACATACACGCTGCTGCAAACTTTTAATCTTAAATTTTCGTTGGTAGTGGTAGACATTTCTGCACACTCCATTGTTAGGCGTTATGTTAAAGTTACCATAGTTTATATGAGAACCTCACGTCCTGTCTTTGGCTTACATGGGCTTGGGTATGGCGGGAAAGGCAAGCTATTACGCCAACGTTACAGCGGTAGGCAACGTTCCGTAAGAAAGCTATCGTGTTTAGAAAACGGTTGGTCACTGCAGGAACACGCAGCGGAGTTTCGCGATCTGATGCTAACATTTTGCAACTTTCATTACGCATCGCCTCATAGATTAAAGCAAGGCTTTTGTTTATTTATTTCCTGGCAGCTACCATGGTTTTCTAAAGTAGTCCTAATAAGTGAATAGAAAAATCGGAAGTTATACACTGTGAAAGTTATTATTAACAGCTCTTTGTTGATAGCGGGCCACAGATATCTCTTACACCTTCAAAAAAGCTTGCAAATAGGATTGATTGATACGTGGGGTTTACGTCCCAAAACCACCATATGAATATGAGAGACGCCGTAGTGGAAGACTCCAGAAATTTCGACCACCTGGGGTTCTTTAACGAGCACCCAAATGTGAGCACACGGGCCTACAACATTTCCGCCTCCATCGGAAATGCAGCCGCCGCAGCCAGGATTCGATCCCGCGACCTGCGGGTCAGCAGCCGAGTACCTTAGCCGCTAGACCACCGCGGCAGGGCTTGCAAATAGGAAGCACATGTCTGTAAACATAATAACAGCTTTGTTTTTACGTACTGAAACTACGATATGATTATGTGACAAGTCATAGTTGAGTACTTCGGATATTTCGACCGTATGGTGCTCTTTATTGCGCACTTATGCAACCCTGTACAGCGCACGGGCCTCTAGCATATCATCTTCGTTGAAACCATGAAAACCTTTGAGACACATGCCGTCGAATCGATCTCGTGGCCTGGTTTCAAACTTACGGCATGTGTCCGAAAAGCTGCTGATGCAAGAGTGGCACAAGCTGGAGCGTCACGATAACAGCGAAACAATAATAACGGGTGGGACGATTGCACGCCGGAGTTGGTATGTTTAGTACTCCGACTGTTTAGTACTCCCACGTCAATGGATGACGAAGGTATGTGACTGGTACAAAGATGATAATCATGAGATGAGTGTCATGTGAGAACATGACTACATGCCACTGTCAAGGCGCCTATACATTCGGAAGTGACGCGGTGCGCGTGCTCACCGGCGTTCATGATGTCGCGTCACGCCGGCGTTGCGACGCCAGGCGCCGGTTTCGCCATATACTCGCAGGTGTGCGCCGCGCTACGTTGCTTCGACGCATGCGCGCTTCATCACGTCCGGCGTCCCTCCGTCACGAAAAAAGGGAGACGCAGTGTTGTCTGGGTAACGCATCGGCGCGAAATGCACCATGTCGCATTTCGCGCCGGTTGCCGTCGGGCCGCACCGGTGGACGCTGGTCACGCTTGGCGTCAGACTATAAAGTGCTCGCGTTTTGCTAACGTGGCGTCGCTGTGCCCAGCGGGCGAACGCGTCAACGCTACATTGGAGTATATTGGGACCTTCATGATGGGCTCGCGGCTGTTTTGCTAGCTACACATATATCAAATTCGATGTTACGTTACGTCAATGGATGACGAAAGTATATGACTGGTGCAAACATGATAATGCTGACAAGCGTGTCATTTAAGAAAATGACAACATACCACGCTCATAGCGTGCTCGCGGCCGTTTTGCTAGTTCCACATATACTAAATTTGATATCACGTGACGTGAACAGATGACAAAGGTAAACGCCACATCCAATCATGATAATCATGACACGGAAGTCATGTACAGCATCATTTACCTCGACCTCGTAACATTGTGCTGATTTTAAAGTGACATATCAACCTTTCTTATTCGTGCTTGGCATATCATCGATTCCCACTGTACGAGGGATCTGCCATTTATTTTTTCAATAGGGACCCATTGCATATTTGCAAGGAATTTTGAGCATTTTTAAATGCTGTGGTTGATGACGATGAAGATTTCTGGAGAGGCGCCCAGGCAATGAACGGTCGAGAGTGAGGTGCGAGTGGACGGGAAAGAAGGGCACAGGGAGGAGGGAGAGCGAATGACTAGATGAGTGGGGAAGCACTGCACCAACCTACACTTCCTCGCACCAGATGCTTCAGTTGCTAGAGGCGAGGATAAGCGCGTGCGCCGCTGTTTATGGGAGTGAGAGAGAGAGAGAGAGAGAGAGAGCAGAGAGATAACATCTGCCGGCGCGCGGACACCGTCACGAACAACGCCGGATGCCCGACATATCCCAACTAAAAAATGCATTTGCATTTCAAAATCACCGCCCAAGTACCCCATACAAATGGTTAACCAGTGAAAGATGAAACGTGTGGCCCCGATGTTATGCAGTGGGTTCACTGCGACGTGGCACTGAAGACTCACAATCATTGGTTACATGCATTGTGCTTCTTAATGAGGTTAGACACCAGTTTGGCTTGAGTTTACCACAGTGTTCATTTCACATGCCGCGCATGTCTCTGATGATCACAGTCATGGAGTAATGTAATGAGAGGTTAAATGCGTTTCACGATGCGTTAACCACAGCGGTTGTTCTCGAACCACAGGAGGTCACAGACGTCTCAGCCGAAGCCAACGTGCCACCGGAGAACGCACTCCTGCGGCCATGACGACGCAGCGCTGCGTTCTTGCGAGTGTTTGACACCGCGAGCTCACTCGGTGGCGTGGTTTGCAGGATCTGCTCACCATAGAGGTGTCTAAAATTAACTAGAGGGGACTTTGAATGATTTGTTTTTCGTGACAAAGCAGCTTCAAGCCACGCAAACCCTAACGAAGCAAGGAGTACAAAGATTAGACAAATCCGTGTACTACCCACTAATACCAAGCTCGCTGAAGCGCCGTGCGTTGCAGCTCCCATAGACACTAGCCCTTGAGGTCTCTCTAGTGTACTTATGGAAAGCTCTATGCGGCTAGCCACCGGTGCTCGCATTCACGTTCGCGATTTGGCGCAGCTTGGCAGGCTGCCGGATTATCGGTGCGCAGTTGCTTCCAGCATTTGGCCTCCTGGGCCTGTTTTTGTCCCCGAACTGCACCACCAGCTCGGCGAATGCGAGCTCCCTCAAGCGGCGGGCACACTTCTAGAGTTGTCCGTGGCATACACGTGTGGAAAGCGTAAAAAAAAGAACAATCACATTCACAGCAGTTATTTTACAGATAAGAAATAAAGCAAAACGAAGGATATTTATTATTGTTTTTGAACTCGATAACTCAAAACGCCACATAGCGCAGACACGGGGTGAAAGAAATAATTAGCAGGTATTCATTTCCTGTATATTCCACGTTTTCACTCATTGCCATGGTCAATATATAACTAGTGTTATTAGCCATATTAAGTTAACATTATTGCACTGAATGGGCCCCCATTTCACTCCCTCTACAAACAGCCGGTATTGCAACCATACTGTATGGATACAGCTGGTCTTCATAGTGATCTAAAAAAAAATTATGATTGCTTGCACTGCTATGGTACATAAATTACTGGACCCTTCTGGTTCAACAGCATACGTAGACTGATATGTCACCAGAAATATACGTACCTATTACGACAGCACGTAATTTAAGTGAAACTCCATACATCAACGCAGGCGTGAAAGACACAGCTGTGTCTGCTCCATAGTAATGGAGTTGTACACCGTAATGATTTTTAAGCGTTTATTAAGCAATTACTTCAACTCGGCATAGTTTGTCAGATTTACAGTAATTTGTCATTAGTAATATGCGCTGCCTTGTAAACTTGAGCGGATGGCTAAAAGGGGATTGTGAAAAGCGCGGGATGGAGGGTAACGTAACATGTGAACCTGCGTCATAGTTCCTTTTTCTGTAATAGTATTTGCTTGGAAGACCACTTACAGTAGCAAAAAAAAAACATTTATACCTGGGTAGGCCGTGGATTGCAGGTAATGAGTCAGACAAGTGCAGCAAGAAAAGAAAATGCAGATAGACAACACTTGAAAGTACCCGATTATCCAAAAAAAAAAAACACAAAAAAACGACGCACTTAGACTTATGACTTTGTTCATATGCTTTGAAGGTGGTTTGATCCACAGTTTTTATACCGC